AAACTGGGCTTAGAGACAGCCACATTGAGGGAAGACCACTTGAAGACACAGGGAGAAGACAGCCATCTATAAGCCAGACATGGAACCGAGTCTCTCACATCACCTCTGAAGGAACCAAACCTGCTGACAGCTTGATCCAGACTTCCAGCCTCCAGAACTGTGAAGAAATACATTTCTGTTGTTTAACAAAACCAGCCTTGTGGCATTTTGTCATAGAAGTCCTAGCAGACTGATAGAGTGGCACAGAGATGTTAAGGGACTCTTCTGGGGCACACTGAAAGGAGATGAAATCAAGCCTTCTACCTGAGTCCACTTTCTCTTACTTGTGGAATAAAAATTCTTCAAATACTGTTCTCTACTTTTAGAATATAAAAATATTGTGCAAAATCTATGCAAATAAATATGTAAATATTGACTTGGAGAAAATGTAGCAATTTAATCCTATTTCTTTTAGCTTCTGCTTGCAGCAGAGATGTAGAAGGACACAAATGACCATCGACAAAGAACACTAGACAAAGCCAGAAAAAAATTTATATATATATATAAACATTATATATTTAAATATATTTTTTCTATATATAACATTTTCACACATAAATTTTGTCTTTTTTTTTTTTTTTTTAACCACCCACTGGAGAGCTAAGGTCTCTAAGACATTGAAAGGACCCTAACTGCAGAGGAATTGAGCCCTTCCTAAGTGAACAAAAACCAGCAGCCACAGTCACCTGTAGGCACAAGTAGATGAGGAGCTAATCAGTATCGGTTTCTTATTGTGGAAACAGGAAGGAAGCGGCCATATTTTCAACCACATGGGCTGGAATGATGGATTAGAGCTGGATTGGTGTAGGTGTGGTAACCCTACTCCAGACTTTTGCCAAGTGTGTGGTGGCCTGCAGAAATCAGGACAGGGATAGAAGACTCGGTAATACTCCCCAGTCATATGGGGACTGGGACTGATGGTCTTTAGGAAGGAGAGATTTGATCCTGCCTCAAGACATTTGAAAGCAGTGGTGAACTAAAAGTAATCCAAGCCAGCCCATCTCAAATCCCAATAAAACAGAAGAGCTAACCTCCTCATCCTAGCTGCCTTTTTGTCACCTCGAGGGGGGTGAATTAAGGACAAAACTGTCATGCAGAGAAAGACCTGTAGAGAGGCCGAACTTGGTCAAGCCTTACCTGAAGTCCAGCCTCCTGCTTCACTAATCAGTTCCATAAACCCATGTCAATGATTTCTCTGGTGTTTAAGTTTGACTTCTGTCCTTTCCAATCAAAAGAAACTTAATTGAAACAAAGTACAAGTCCTGACCAATTGTGTATTAAATGTACACACCTGATTACACATGCAACTTCTTGCATCAATTAGCAATACACAATTTCCGAAGAGTCATGGTATCCTCCAAAGACTCATTGAAATGATCTTCATAATTCTTTAAATGAACCAGACAAAACTAGCAAATAACTAATAATCTTTAAAAACAATCATAATAGCACTTCAACCATAAAGAAGATATTAGTGCCTCACAGGCCCCCCCTATTTCAGGCATATTCATGTGCTAATGAGCTCACCACCACTCAAAGTGCTGCAGAATTGTGATTTTGAAAATGTCTCATGGCAAATTAGTCTTCTATTGTACCCTGCACTTCTGTCATTCACATGTGACACCTACCACGGTAGAGATGACAGACATTCAAATTGGCATCTAAATCCATGAAAACAGTGGCAGGAAGAGTCTAAGTTGAATCTGAATGGGGAAATTTAAGCATAGAAGAAAGATTAAAAGTTTTAGAGTCAGAATGACCACTTGAAAATCAAAGAACATTTCACAATATCCAAAGTACCATTTCAGTTGTTGAGAATTGCCAAAAAAACTTTCAAAAACTCAAGCTCTCACCAAAAGGAAAAAAGAAGTGGGGGGTAGTTTGCAGACTCCATATTCTCTTGCCAAGTTCTAATCTGGAGTTTTATTTTATGAATCAGTTTATAAGGTCCTAAAAATAAGGAGCTAAAAGGAAACAGGGTCAGCCTGTCCCCTCATAAGGAGCCCCCCAAATCTTCTAGAAATGCAACCTCAGTAGCGTACAAGGGGAGGAAGGGTCCTTCCAGGTCCTCATGTTTCAGTCCTTCTAGCCCCCAGCCCTGCTCAGACATAAGATGTTGGACAACATGGCGTCTTACACAGGTTCAACTTTAAGGTAAATTCGTGATTTATGGAAGAAGAAGAAGAGTTCTCAACTCCCCACCTGCATGAGCCAGCAAGGCTACTCTGAGGCTTTGTCCAAAGTTAGGGCAACATAAAATCAATGACAGGACAAAATGAAACCAACAGCCATCATATTCAGCCAGACAGAACATGTTCCCATGAGAAATCCTGGATTAATCTTTCTAGGAAACTTCAAGAATGTACTTTGCTGTAAATTAAGTTTCCTGATCTCTAAACTCCCAACCTTTGAAAGCTAATCCAAACTCGATAGGGCATAATTGACTACTTATTAGCTAAGCCTATTAAGAGACCCAATGTCTTTCTCAACACAGCAACCAAGTTTACTATTTCATGCAAAGCAAAAAGCAGCAGGAGCAAAATGGAGACCTCCTTTTGGTATCTACACTCCTACCCAGTACGGAGCCTGAGTTTTGCTCCATCTTAATTATACACAGTGCTCCAGCTCTTCAGGACAAGTTGATGCAAGATTTGGGGGAAGAAGAAGGGTGATTTTTTTTGAGGCAAATTCAGAAATTTCTCTCTTCACCCTTACATGGCTGCTCTTGTCTTAGTTTCTATCAGGTCCACCCCATTCAGCTTGTGTTCACTTTATTTCCTCCATTAAAGGCTAAACAGTCCATCAAAAAATGTGCCCCGAAGCCAGTCTTAGGTACAAAAATGCAAACACAAGCACCATTTGTCATTTTGTCAGCAACTCTTGGTATCTCTCCCCTAAAAAGGACAGAAGCAGGTCATTAGACAAACATTCCATTATCTCATCCCCAAGCATGCTGCATTTCTGATCAGAGACTGGCAGTTGATGAGCACTGGTTTGAGTGAAGAGGGAGAATAAAATACATTTGCCCTGGGTTTTATTGCGTGGCCCTACTTAAAGATTCTCAGCTGAGAAAATCTACTTCCGCTGGCCCACAGGTGCTATTACTCATGTTTAATATTCCTTAGCACGGGGTTTTCAACACCAGCCGAACTTGATACATCAGAACCACTTGGAAGCTTTTACATGGCCAGATGCCCAGGCTGTGCCCCACACTAATTAAAAGGGCAATGGGAGGGGACCTGGGCACTGGGGGTTGTCACTCCCCTGGCAATGCCAATGTGCAGACACAACTGAGAATTGATGCCTCAGTGAAATCCCTATGCCATTCAACCAGTGTGTTCAGCTCAGCTGCAAAAAGTACACAAAGACTTAGAATGAAAAAAGATCCACAAAACTGACCTAACAGGGTCCGTAAAAATAACACACTGACATCAAGTGCATGACCATAAGACTTACGAAAAATCCTGCTTCATATTAAAGGGTGTTTTTTAGTTAATCGATAATTTTATGCTGAGGTCCATTTTCCCCACTTTTATAGGGTGCAGAAAGGAAGAGAGAAAAATATTAAGGTCTAGCGGTGTTCTCTCTCCATGTATGACTCAAAGCTCTCCGGTGGTTTCAGAGTAGACTTTATCCAGCACAGTCATCTCTAATATCTGCCTGCCACATACAGACTAGGCCATGGAGGGTGATAACCAGACTTCATAATGTTCTACAGGCAGGGACTGAGCTGGGCCACAAGACTTGCTTACAAATTCCAAAGTTACTCTTGAGGAAAGTCACATCATTGATTTATTTCCATGGTCACACAAATACTCAATTGAGACACCCCACATTTTCATACAAAGATAACATTAAACTACAAAAGCACAACTCCCAAAGGTCTGCTATGGGGCCCCATGATCTCCTGGGAGAAAAAGTCACCCATGAACTGTGGGTAATCCAGCTTCATCAAGGGACATTTGCAGGCCTACTGCTGTGGACACAGCACCATGAGATGTTCTTAAACACCTGACAGAAAACACAAAGTATGCTCAAAATAGAGGTGCAGAATACAGGAGTTCTGGGTTCTACTTCAAGTTGCATATCACAATCACTTTTAAAAACACTTGATACCCAAGTCATACCTCAGGCCAATTAGATGGGGATATTAGGCAATGAATGGCATTTTTAAAGCACTGGTTCTCATACCTTAGCATGCATCCGAATCCCTGGGAAGGCACAGATGACTGGTCCACCTCCAGGGTTCCTGATGCTGCAGGTCTGGCTTCAGGCCAGAGAATGTACCTTCCTGGCAACTTCCCAGGTATTACTGATACTGCTGGAACAGGGGCCACAATTTGAGAACCACTGTTCCCCAGGCAACTCTAATTAATGAACAAGGGGTGAGGACCACTACACTAGAAGAGTAAGTGAGCTCTGGCCAGGGCATCAGGAGGAGGGAAATCAAGCTAGAATTGGAATTCTATCTCTGATACTAACCTGTGGCTTGATAACAAACTTGTAGAGATTTTTCAGACCTCAACTTGGTCCTGACACATAAAACTGAGGCAATGCCTGGACAAGATCATGAATTCCTTGCAGAAATAAAATAATGACCTTTTCAAAGGACTGCACTGCATGAAATACTGACTCTAATACACAAGGAAAAGGAAGTGGCTTCCAGGGCCATTAAATAGTTTTCAACATGCCTAAAGACATTTCAGTCAAACACAGACTGAATATACCACTCTGGTTCCATACTGTGTAGTGACATAATAGCCATCTTAGCCTGTGCAAGTACATTCCGTGATGTTCCCATGAAGAAACTGCCTAATGATTGCTCAGAACATCTCCCTGCCATTAAGTGACACATGACTGTATAGGTGAAGTTCTTGCTCATATGATGTCAGCACATCTGGTGCTGCACTGTGGGAGTCATCTGTGCATGTGCTCTGTCCAGACATGTTGCCCTAACTCACCTGTTAGAACCTTGCAGAACTGCCCAGGTACCTGGGCCTCGGCAGTTGGGCTGGGTGTCAAGGTCCATTTGCGTCTGATCACATGCTCTCGTCCACTGAAGGGACCACTGGAATTGCTGAGAGGCTGGATTAGCACCTGCTCCTGTCCAAGCTGGATGAGGCCGACCTGCCAGGAAAGGAAAGGAAAACAGGACATTGGTTGCCTCACTCATACATGTCCATGGCCCCTGCGGCTTGAGAGGAACAAAGTCACCTTGCTATGGTTTGGTTTTCCACACCTGGGCTTTTTTTCTTTGCAAATTGCTTGAATTTACCTGAGCCCAAAAGTGTCTGTCTGACATACAAACATCCCATTGAGTGGCTGAGTTGGAAGGGCTGGGACGGGGGGTTGAAATAGGGGTGGGGGTTCACATGTGTATAATAATACCCTTTTCTGAGTGCTTTCAGAGAGAAGACAGAGTTACTTTCCATTGATTTTTCAAGAACTTCCCTTAAAAATTATTTTTAAAACCAACCTAAGAGTCCATCTGAGGAGGCAACCCCCAAATTGTTTAGAATGAAAATTATATCCCTAATGGGAAAAATGTAGCTTAATCCTGGGGATAACTTAGAATTAAATACAAAGACAATAAGGTCAGTCTGATTTGTAGTATTAAGTGCTTTGTGATGGGGACTTGTGCATTATTCCTCCAGAACGAGTAATAGTTAAGAGAACTTGGCAGAATACCTAATGGATTAGATTTGCAATTTTAACTTAGAGCATATCATTGATTTAGACTTGTGATTTTAAAATCTTTTTAGGTTACAAATAGTATTAGAATGTGTAGAAGACCTCAGGCCTTCTCATGTTTATAAGACTAAGTTATTAGGCTTATAAGAATGCCTAAATACTTGTGAAAAGTTTCTTTTTTAACCCAGACATCCAATGAACTTGAAAATAAAAATCAAAATATTTCTCAGAAGACTGTTTTTTCAAAATGTTTAAAAATTGTAAGTGACATTGTAAATGGGGTCAAATGTTTCAAAATCCTCTTTAAAAATAACTGCAAAATCACACTAAGATTATAAGATTTGTAAATTAAAGGAAATCTTTAAAAAAAACTAGGATTTTTAATTTGTTGCTTAAATGAAGTGAATTTTAACTCTATGGGGGAGAGGAATTCGGTGCATAGAACTTTCCCCTCCCTGGGAACCAATGCTGACAGCATTGGTCATTCTTGCCCCAGACACCTGCTGCAAGCTTTCCATCTTGTTCACAAGGGAACTTAGTAACAAGGTGGAATTAACAAGGTAAGTAAACTTTCCACAAACGCTTGACTAGGCTGGGGAAGGAGCTGGTGTGTACACTGGTATGTGCAATGTCCCCTCTCCTAGGTCATACCTCCAGACTGTCTTAGCTGGCTCAGATTGAGCAGATTGGTATTAAGAGGTCATGGACACCTTTCTTTTCTCTTACACCATTACTTTTCAAAAGTTATAACATACTAAACCAGTGATCCTCAAACCCTAGCATGCACCAAAATCACAAAGAAGACCAAAGTGGGACTTAACAATGTGCATTTCTAACAAGTCCCCAGATGACCCGAACACAGCTGGACCAGGAACCACACACTTGGAGAAGCACTGTTCTCTGCACAGCATTACAATTCCTCCAGGCTCAACTATGGTATAGATCTCACTCAAGTCAAATGAGATAGACCACCCTCCATTCTAAAAAGATGCACCAGTACCAAGCCCCTTAGGAAGTAAATGACATCAACTCATAAGATCACCTACAATCTTTAGTCCCCAAGATACAGGGTGAGACCAAACTTACCGCTCTAAGCAGATTTCAAGGTTTCTATTTCATTAGAACTTTTGCCAAGAACAACTCACAAATTTTACGGCCCAAATAAAACTGTTTCAAAGTGGCACTGTGTAACCTGCAGGAGAGCCCAGCTTCCTTCCCACTCCTTTGAAGTGAAAACTTGAGTTTGTACCCTGGGATACTTTGGAGAAGTTGAAGAAATGAAGACAGAGGAGCTGTGGCAGGATGTACAGGGCTCCCCCACCCCCAGATGTGCTTTAAGAAGCCGAAGTGCGGACACTAGAAAACAACTGGCCAAAACTTCCATGGTTCAGATATAGAGAGGTTATGCATGGGATGGAGCCCCACACAGAAGGAGCCCCATGTCTCTGGAGGATGTACTCAACTCTAACAACAGGCTGGACTCTTCTGGAAATACCCTGGCTATGGAAGGTCCAAGGCAGCCACCCTCCCGAGTCCTGAACTTTCAAAGCCAATTTTATCAATCAGTTTAGTGTTTGCATTCACAAGCTCCAGTGCAAAAATCAGCTAGCAGTGAGCTAGCTGTTTTGGGGACAGGGAGATCTCTCCTTGGTGTGAAATCCTACATATACATATTCAGAAGCAAAATCTAGCTCCTTGGGGAGGTTTTTCTCTAGAGTATCTTTTCTGGACAGTCTCACAGATTTCCATTCATTCACGCAAGAAAATGGCAATACAGGTGAGAAACAGATAAACTGAATACTGATCTGTACTCTATCTCATAGCCCTTTATTCTGTTGGCCCCTAAACCTTGAGCCAGGTTGTGGCCAGGACTAGCGCCTAAGAAAAAGGAGCTGCACAAATCTCTTACCCTGGGGGCTGGCACATGGAAAGGCCCACACTATCCCCTTTTGTTGTGGTTTGGATGTGAGGTGTTCCCCCAAAGGCTCAAGTGAGAGACAATGCAAGAAGGTTTAGAGGAGAAATCATTGGGTTGGGAGAGTCTTAACACAATCAGTGAATCAATCCCCCCATAGGGATTAACTGAGTGGTAATTGAAGTGGTAGGGTGTGGCTGAAGGAGGTGGGCACTGGGCTATGGCTTTAGGGTATGTATTTGTATCTGGCAAATGGAGTCTCTCTGCTTTCTGATCATGATGTGAGCTGCTTCCCTCCACCACTCTCTCCTGACATGATGTTCAGCCTCACCTGAGCTCCGAGGAATGGAGCCAGCCTTCTATGGACTAAGACCTCTAAAACCATGAACTCTCAAATAAACTTCTTCCTCTACAATTGTTCTGATCAAGTCTTTTAGTCCCAGTGGTGAAAAGGCTGACACCTTCCTAGGTGTGGCTTGCTGTTGCTAGACTCCCTCAAGTATCTCTAACACTCACCTCGTCCACACATTACCAGTGATAAAAGTTCTGTAGAAAAGTTGGTCCCATAAATATGTACACTTAGAATGGGTCAAAAAAAATTTCCCCAATCCCCTTCCTCTATTCTGCTGGTCTTCCTTCTATCTTTTTAAATTTATGCATAATAATTATACATAAAAGTAGAAAATAGGGAGAAGGAGGTGAAGGGGAAAGGAGAAGTACTGTGGATTAAAATGGAGCAAATTGTTACATGCATTCATGAATAAGTCAAAATGAACCCCACTATTACGTATGACTAGAGTGCTAATGGAAACATTAAAAAAATTTTAAAAACTTTTAAAGTGTCACTGTGTCCTCCTCCAACAATCTTGCCCAAAGTTCTCACCAGCCCTCATCTCTCCTTGACATCTTCTCTTCTCTCAATAAATCCTCCTCCTCTGCAGTCCATTACCCAACACCATGTTATAGGAATACTTTCACAAACTAATAATTTGTTCTTCTGAAATAGGATCAGAATTTCTCCTCCATAGTTTCCAATGTTCCATATTTTCCAATATCACAATTACTTGAAAAGCTAATAGGTTGCCTAAAGTACCCCTTGCTTGGTGGTTTTCATCCCTGGCTGCATATAGGAATTGCCTGGATAGCCCTGAAGACCTCTGATGCCAGGCCAAATGGGGTATAAGACTAGCAGTGATTTTTTTTTTTTTTTTAAGTTCACCAAGAGATTTCAATGTTCAGCCAGAGACAAGAACCACTGCCTTAGCTTTTAACAGGGTGCTGGAGAACCTGGCCACCTAGTACCTTGACTTCAATGCCTGGAAGTACCTGAATTTGGAACCTGGGTCTTTCTCCGACTGTGGGGTTCTGCCCACTGCCCTGGCTTCTAGTCAATTGCTGCCCCATGGCCCTCAGAGCTGAGCAGGGATGCTTAGAATTGTGTTAATCTCACAGTCACCATCTATTCTGAGAAGTAAGACACATGGAAATGCTCCTCCAAGGCCTCCACTGTTCCTTGAGGACAGCAAAGAAATATCATTAATGAGGCTGGGATTGGCTGCATTCGATGCAAATGGCTTCCAATATCATCTGCACAGACAGAGACCTGGGAAGGAATAAATGTCCATGGCAGACAGAACCAGCAGCCCTGAGGCCATCTGGTTTTAAGGGAAACCATAATCCCTCAGGGAAACAATGCTTTTAGGTATTTTAGGTTTTTGCAAGATTGGATATCCTACATGAAAGAATTGTGGGTCAAATAAAATGTATCAGGTATAACCTGATACTGTAACAGGTCTGAGCAGTCACATTTCAACTCTCTTTATTCTGAGTCCTTGCTCTGAAGGTTTCTGGACCATCTTAAGAAAGTATTGCTAACCCCACTTCATCCCCCAAGCAGGGCTAGGTTCCACTTCCATGTGCAGAACACTTGAGAGACAGAAGCTTTAATCACCTCCTAACATGAGCACTGCCTCGCCACATAACACAGGAAATACATTTAAGATACTGTAAAGAAAATCTGTCACAAGTGCACCCTGGAACTGAAGGCCACTGCCCCTCTGTGGGAGGGACGAAGCCATAAGATTTGGTTGAAATCACCTTCCTCTAAAGGCCCCCGTGAGCCCTCCCAGCTCTTCTTTGGAAGGCTTTAGGTGCTCTGCTAACCACAGTGGGCCTGGGGTCACCTTCTCTATGTCCAGATGGGTTGGCACAGGTAGTTAGAGAGGCCCCAGCCAATGGGATGGTGAGTTTGTTCCCTCTGTGGGCAAATCTGCTTCCAAGGAGAAAAAGACTGGTGACTGCAGACCTGCCTCGGACTCTCTGGTGGGCCTCATCTGTGGGGACTCACATGGTGGCCATGGGAGAAATGTCCCCATCTCCCTACTCATACAGGTATGAGGGGCTTCCCAACCTGCTCCTCTCTCAAAGCACCACTTGAAGTTCCCCTGACAGTCTAACTGCTGCCTGTGAAAGTGCAAAACACCTAAATGCAGACACTTGTCTTCTAAAGTCAGCCTCCCTT